TCTCCAAAACACACTTTTTGAGGAGCAGAGATGTGGGTAGATGATTTCAATATGCCTCGGAAGAAACCTCGGTGTTTCAGTTTCAATATTCAGAGAGCAGTCTTTTTAATTTACTTGAGTTAATAGTAATAATTTAATAAAATAATTTAATCTTGCTGTTGATAGTATTGAATTTAGAATATAGAGGGGTGCCTTAGAAAGGTGAAGGTTTAGTTTTCATTCGTCTTGGAAGCCATTTACAAATACGACTCCTTGTGGCAGCTCTCTGATGGGGGAATGCCAGTAGCTGCTTTTCTGATGGGCTGTTTGTTTCACTCTGTGTTCTGCAGATTTTTGTCCTCATTGAAATTTGTTTCTAAACATGAGATTTTAAGCTGATAAACTTTTTTGGGCTTTTCTGTAGCACCCACCAAGCATTTGTTCTGCTTTAAAGCAACTTTTAATGTTCTTGGTCGCATGGCTGTAGTGGTATTCTTAGCTTGATGTTTTTCATACGTGGTTAAACCTTATGTGTTCTCAGTTACTGAAGTTGGAGTTTTTAATCTTTTCCTAATTTCCAAAGTAGCATCTTTATCAAACAATCCTTTTCCTACCTCTTACCAGTAAGATTAAGTAAACCCATATGTTGGAAGCATTTGTCATTTCCTGCTGTTAGCTTTTTCCCCAGATGTACTGACGCCCCGGGGGGTGTGGGCTGTCCCGGGCTGAGGGGCTGCAGCTGGGCAGGGGCTGGCACACTCCTTCCTGAACTCCTCCTCCTCTTCCCCGTGCTGGCGCTGCCCCGCAGGGGTCACGAGCCCCTGGGGTGCCACGGGAGGAGCAGGGGGACGGGGTGCTCTGCACGAGCCTGGGCCAGCCTGGCACTGTGCCCCCCCGGGGGAATCGGTGTCGTGGTCTGGGGCAGAAGCCTGATACAGTGGGGTGTGGAATCTCGGGGGATTTTCTGACTCTCAGGGTTTTTATGTTCTAGGACTACAAAGCTGATGAAGACCCTGCGTTATTCCAGTCAGTTAAGACGAAGAGAGGACCTTTGGGGCCAAATTGGAAGGTACCAAGAACTGATGTGTTGCAACCTTATGAAGTCTTTATCAGCAGAAAAAAAAAGTTCATGGTTCCTTAGAGACGAGCAGTTGCACTGTTAGTCTTAAAACAGAGGGCAGAGGGATACTTTTCTTCTTTGTATGGAGTTAAAATTCCAAATGTGTTAGCAAAGGTGCTGGCTACTACTTGTTTAACATCACTACTAAAACCAAAGCTATGGAAATTATGTTGGATAAACTTTATCCTTACTGAGGATTGACATCTGAATACTGTGATGAATTCCATGGAAGTCATCAGCCTGCTGTGCTAGCCATTGGAGGTGACTTAAAAAGAATAAAAATGTTGGGATCTTCCTTATGTTTCAATGGTTACAACTGTGTGCTTCTTAGAGCAGGGTAAAAGATAGTCCCTGTATATGTTTCATTTAGAAGTACTAGGAAAACCAGCACAAGATAGTGGCAACTAGATCTGAGCCTGTCTTCACCTTGCCACGTTGAATATCTGGATACTTTTTACTTGTGTGGAGTGTGTGCAAAATGCACGTGAAAACCTTCAGTACTTCATGGTCAATATCCTCCTGTGGGAGGCAGTACACCCTGTGTGCACACGTGTGTGCATGGGTGCACAGAGGCACCTGCCATGTTCTGGAAGCTTTCAGGGAGCCCTGTGTAACCCGAGTCAGTTTGGGAAGTCAGTTCTCCGCTTTCCAGCCCTTGGGTGGCTGTCGGCGTGACCGCAGTGTGGAAGGTTAGCACGTTGGAGATGGCCACCAGGGCAGGCGTGTGTTCAGACCTGCATTCCTGAAACACTCTACTGTGTGAGCAGGGTAAAATTGTCTCAGGGATTATGTTTGTAAACTGTGCTGAAAATGTGCATCCTGCCTTCGACATCTGTTCGCTCCCGCTCGGGAAGGAAGCAGGAGGCTGATGCAGGAATGGCCTGTTTGGGCTTGTGTGACCCTAAGAGAGAGGGGAGTGCCTGGTTTATTTTTTAAAAACAGCTGTAAAATGAAGAGGAGAACTTTGAATGCTGAGAACTGGCAGCATTGAATTTCCATGTTCCACTTAGTTCTGTCCTTTTATCAATGCCTGGACATAGACTCGTCCTGTTTAGGGGCACCAAGCAGCAGCAGCACTTTGTTTTTCACTTGTGGATAGAACATTAGTCCTCTGTGGATAATTGATTTTCACTGAAGTGCTCTCTGGTGATGAGAATTCGTGATAAAAGTTCTGTTAAATAAATATGTCTTATTCACTAAGATTTTTTTATGTTAGACATATCTCACAGGAAGTCTTTTTACTGTGTTTTTGACCAACAGGAGTTGTCCTTTTCATGGGTAAAAGAAATCTAGCTTAAATGCTGTAAACTATTTCTGCTTAGAATTTTGTTGCAGGTAGAAAGAATAAAAATCTGTAAATTTCTTAACAGTAAGTGCTTGTTGTACAAGCCAAACACACAGATTTTTTTTAATTTGTTTTTTTTTAAGCTGCTGTTAGCTTTTTTTGTTTGTTTGTTTATTTTTTTTTCTTTCCTTATTTTTCTTTCTTTGTTTACAAGGGATGGAGTAACCTAACATGCTTTGTTAAACTAAAAACATATTATGGTCTCTCGTATTACATAAGTTTGACTGCATAAATTGTAGGAAAATCACTGTGAATGATGTTACAGGTACTTCAGAATGGTTCAGATGTATGAACTGTAACAGGAACCTAAGAATTGCAGATGCTGGTGGGCATCCCCTGGATTTCCCTCAGCTCATTCTTCCAGGGATCCTTCCTTTGCACAATGTCCTTGAGCTGGAGCTGCTTGCAGGCAGCTCTGAAGTGAGCTTGGGGAGGTCTTACGGGCACCCTTGCCCATACAGAAGTTCTCTCCCTGTTTTGCTCACAGTAGCAGTTGGGAGGTCTGCAGTTCATCAGGCAGAAATGAGTATGGGAATGTCTCACAGCTATACAGTACCTGGGTGAAGACTTCCCCCTCCAGCCCTGTCTGCAGGAGCAGGATGTGAGGGAGGGGAGCAGGTGGGCTGGGCAGGGAGCTGGAGCTCTGGGTGGCTGTGAGCAGCAAAGCTGAGGGTGGGTGTGTGCACTGAGGTGCCTGAATCTCCCCTGGTGTGTGCTCCCCACCGTTGCACTGAGCGACCTGGTAGAGCTGGAGCTGTGATTGCCTTTCTGGGACAGACCCAGAAATAAAAACAATGTTTGGTGCTAGGTGCTGTAATCAAACTTCATTGTCCTTTTAAAACATCAGGCAGTGTATTACAGTGGGAACTGGGAAAATTAAGTCCATGCTTAGACTAAGATTTATAGTACGTGTGCAGCATGGATGGAATTGTCTTACAGATTTAACCTGATCATTTATCCTTATTACTCTATGTTCAGAGTACAGTATTTCCTAATACTTAAATTCTAAATATCATTATAATACTCATAGATAATTTATAATATTTTAACTTACATCATTTACTGTAAGAATATAATTTAGAATTCTATAACACCTAGAATTATGATTTTTAGTAATTATATTGAACTGTTTTGAAAGAAGTAATTTTTTTTTAAAATTTAAAAATTCTTTCCCATTTTTCGTAAACAGAAAGAGCTAGCAACTGATGAAGAGTGTCCTAAAATGTGTGCTTACAAGTTGGTGACTATCAAATTTAAATGGTGGGGTCTGCAGAACAAAGTTGAAAACTTTATACAAAAGGTGAGTGTTTCTGCCTGGCTGGGTACTGCTGGGGAGGTGGGCAGGGTGGTTCTGAGTTGATGTGGGGTTTCTGAGGAGAAACATGGATTATGTTTCTTGGTGCTCACAGTCAGTCCATTTCTGTTCATTTCTTGAGCAAGTACAAGGACTTGTGTCTTCGTCTACTAGCAATGGTGCTTCAGTGGTGGTACTAAAATAAACCCCTAAGTTAAAAAAGCAAAGGTATAAGCAAAGAGTCTGTGCCATGTAGGTTTAACACTGGATTTTGTAAGCAACGATGCTTGGCAGGAAGAGGGCTCTTTGGTTCTTTTTTATTTTTTTTTTCCCCCTTAAGTTGAAAGTTAAAATATATAAAATGTGCTGGTGTTTCTCTGGTATGTTCTGGTTTTCTTATGAAGCAGTTCTTGTGTAGGCCTATTATTTAATGTTTGCTTATCTTCTTAAAGCAAGAAAAAAGGATATTTACCAACTTCCATCGTCAGCTGTTCTGTTGGATTGACAAGTGGATTGATCTGACTATGGAAGACATCAGGAGGATGGAGGATGAGACCCAGAAGGAGCTGGAAGCGGTAAGAATGCTCTTCTACAGTAGATGCTTGTGTGTGACCTACCTGCAGATTTGTGTCTTTGGGAATTGGCACAAGTTCCATCGTGTCCCTGCCCTCCTGTGGGCCGGGGCAGCTGCGGATGAACTTCACAGCCCCGCAGCGACTCTCCCGTCGGGCCTGTGCACGTCCAGCTTCTGCACTCTGTGCTGTCCCAGGCTGGAAGTGGCTGTAAGGTAAATGTTTCTGATGTCACCAAGTCCCAAATGCCTGCCCTGGCCTCCTGTTTATTTATGGTGCCATACCCATTGCACAGAGTCCTATTCGGTGCCTTTACACCACTTGTCAGCTAGGAATCAGAGCTGCCATCCTGCTTTTCCATCATGTGTCTTGCTTTATTTCATTTCTAATCATCATTAGATCTCATTACATTTTTCTCCTCAAACATGTCTTCAAGCAAGTTTCTGTGTGTCATATGGCAGCTGTTCCACTCATCCCAATTAGCACACCATACCTGAGAACTTTACTTGCAGAGAAGGAAGTCAGTAAAAGGAACAGGGTTGAGATAGCATCAGTCGAGTGTTGTGCTTCAGTGGCTGTGAGGACCAAACACCTACAGCCTGATCTGCCTTTGGACTGATGTCTGGAAGAAAACTCAACCATAGGGCACTTTTCCTACCCTTTCTTTCAAGAGATAGAGGAACATCTTAGGCTCGTGTTGCAGAGACTCTCAAAACAGACGAGGCAGGTACTTGAAAAGGAGATTTATTCTAATCAGAAGTTGTTCAGCCCTGACAGACTGCAGTAAACGACATGTTCTGGTTGCTGGTTGTAACGGATGGTACACAGCTGACTTAAGTTCAAGTTGTTGGAGTGATGACCCAAAATGCACCTGTCACTCACCTAAAAGATGAGGGCTCTCAGCCTGTGAAGGAGTTTCCTTGGGTGTTGCCCCAGTCCTAGGGGAGGGTCCCTAACTGCAGGCCCACTGCTTCCAGGAGGATTGGCTTCACAGCCTCTGAGAGGGCTCCAGTTGTCCCCGAGTCGAGCTGGAGGACTGCTCACATATGGTCAGCAGTCTAGGAACATCTCTCAGCCAAGGTGTTCTGTTGGCTGAGGGCCTCATCCAGCAGCAGCAGGGCACTGCCTCTCCTAGCCTGCCACCGAGCATGTGGCTACTTGGCCCCCAGACTGTGGCTTCTAGTTTTAGCTCCTTTGTTTCAGCAGTTGAGAAGCTTCAGCAGGTATTGGGACGGGTGCACCTGCCCCAGCTAGGCAGGAAGCCTTCTTCTCTAGTGTCTTTCCAGAGTGTCACCTTTGGCATGGACCTTCCTCACTGTAAACCCTGCTAGTTTTTCAGGTTCTTTGCAGACTTTGGATTTGCAGCTCTATTTCCTTCCAGTTTTCCCAACTGCTTTCTGCCTCAAGCCCATTCAACTTGTCACTTTCCTGCCATTGTCTTGGTTCTTTCAAGACATGATCTGTCTTCAGCCAGAACTTGCTTTTTTGGGTGGTTTAACTCATTTTGGTTGCCAGGCATCTTTAAACAGTTTGCAAAGTACCTTGGACATACTGCTGACACCAGTTCTGAAGTGGTTTGTGCCTAGCACATCTCTCAGTATCCAAACTAGCTGTAGCTCCTCCATCCCCACTCGCTGCCTTCTCGGTGCTTGGTCGTGATGAACTGAGTGGAACCTTCTCCATACTGTACAGAGATGTTTTCTGGATCTGGAAGAAGCATTTCTTTGCTGTTCTGTGTTAACAGATAGCTATGCTGAGCTGGTAAAATCAAACTTGCTTTTCAAATAAGCTGAAGGCTCTGTGTGCTTTGGCAGCTCCCAGATACGCGTTGGAGCAGGACGGTGTTTGCTCTCTCCCACAGACACTGCACTCTGTGGTTGGCATTTGGGTGTTTTTATTATGGGAAGTTTTCTCTCAAGTCAGGTGGATTTCTTGTTTAATTCTACTTTATGCCAGAACCTATTCCCAGAGCCCCCTGCTCCTGGGTGCCTGTGAAGGAGGGATAGTAACAGCTTTCCTCTCTCTAGCTGACCTTTGTCAGAAGGGTTCTCTCTTGCACACACTTAGTTATTTCTTTGGAGTGAAACAGACTTTGTCCAGTTGCTCTGGGAAGGGACAGTGGCAGAGCAAGGAGTGTGTGAGGGGTGTAAGCAAGTGGCACTTGACCCACCTGTGTGCGTGAGAATTTCCCTTGTGCCCCTGTGGACTCTGGAGCTTTGTCGTCTTGTAGAGAAAGTTCTGTTTCACCTTTCTCACTGGTAAGTAACTTCTTTTAAATATTTTTTTTAAAAAAAAAAATTTGCAGCTTTTTAGTTCTTAGCTTAAGCAAAACCCAGATCATGTGTTTCTGTGTATAACAGTTGTTATACTAAACATTTGTTTACTCTTTTCCTGTTTTGCAAAGCAATGCAAATGGTTTATTTCAGATGACTTGTCTAAGATGTTGGTATCAGGAACTTCAGTGTATTACTTGTTGAAATACACAAGTACAGTGTATCAGTCAGTCACACTGACACAGCTTTCCTCTGTGTGTTGTGAAGTGTCAGAGGAGTTGGGACCTACTGTTAAAATATTTTGGGGTTTCTCAACTGTCATAACAAGGGTATCTGTAAACACCTATAAAGCATGTCATGTCAAGATTTTTGTGGTGAAGTGGATTGTTGGAGAACAACATAGAGGCAGCAATGTCACTGCCAAATCAAATAGGAATGCTATTTTATCCCAAATAATTTGGTTTTATGGTTCCTATACAACTACTTCATCCACTGTGCTAAACAATAACTTTCACTACATCCCAGGTATAGCACAAAACATTTGTTTTATGGCCAGGACCTCTGGGAAGTGACCACTTAGTGGCAATCTGCATAATACGAGAGGAATATCTTCTGGCTTCCACCTCTGTGGAGGAGGAGTCGGGTGTTTGGAGTGTGTTGCACTATGCAATTCTGTGATGCTTAAAAACAGCCAGTCACAGAAATCCAGCCAAACAGCATGGGCAGCCTTACATTTTCTTGCATACCTTGCTTTCTTTTGCTCTTCCTTTCTCATTAACACCCTTTCTTCTTCCTGGTTTGAGCTAATCTTTCTCTTTGGATTCTGTGCATGCTTTGGTTCTTCTGTTGGTCCTATTCTTCATCTTAAGTCGAATTTTCTAGTCAGGATCTCTGCTTTTGTTACTTTTTTGTTACTCTCTGAATCCTCATCAGTGTTATTCCAGAACTTCTCTGTCCCAGGCCATCCTTCTCTCACTGTTTTTCTTCATCTTTCACTTGCTGGTTTTTGTACACGACTCCTGGAGATGAGGAGCACATCAGTGAACCAGTGCCTGGCAGAGAAGCATCCGGCCCTGCCAAAGCTCTGTCGGACCCACCTCGTGCCTTTGGCAGGGTAGAGATGCCACGCTGGGTGTGTTGAGCAGGGTGGCTCCATGCTGAAGCGTTGTGGGCCATTAACAATGTAAGAAGCATCATTTTGCAGCTGCTGTACAGTTCCCAGGCTTCCTCACCAAAAAGAAATGGTGCATACCCCATCTCCAGAGTCCTCAGCTGCAGCTGGGGCTGGTTTGGTCCCGACCAGGGAGGAGCAGCCCTGGTCACATTGGTCGTTGTTGCTCTCTTACTAACCAACAGCACGACAGGTTCTCTGTGTGGTAGCTCACGGTTTTATTTTGCGTTTAGATGCGTAAGAAGGGTTCCGTTCGAGGCACTTTGGCTGCTGACGTCTAGAAGAGTTCTCTGTAGGTTCTGAGGCAAATCAAGCTGTGTAAGTCAACTGCTGGATGGAAAAGGAGAAAAGTGATTAATGTTCTGGTGGATGGGAATTGCTGGCAGAAATCATCTAAATGGACATATATCCAGATAACACCTCTGGGCCTTCCCCCCCCCCGTCCTGTTTGATAACCTTGTGGTGATCAACAGTTGGAGATGACCCTTGGTGCCCAGGGTACATGAGACCTTCTCCACAGGTGGGCACTGGTGCTTGGTCTGGTGGCAGAACGCCTGAAGCTCTGGCCACGTAACCTGGTTCTTTGTGCTGATGGAGTACAGAAACCCGAAGTGCGTGACCCGTTGTCATCACTGCCCTGGCATCGAGCTCTGGAGCCTGCAGGTTGTCTCTGGGGCACAGATCAGAAAACCAGTGGGCGTCATTTTGCTGCAGAGTAGCAAAGTGAAGTGTGGCCTTTGCCCACGTGACTTAGGGAAGCTGTGGACTGCCATCCTGAAAGCCTAAGCTTGTGAAATTCAGCTCCACACCGATATTTATAAATCCTTAAATTGTGTCAGAACCGTGACCGAGGCAGAC